TATATATATATATATATATATATAGATTATTGTTGTATGACACAATAAAAATTCAAACTAAGCCTAGTGAAACTACAGATGTAAACTGTGTCCTTATTGAGTGTTAGCGAGTCCTCATGGGTACCGTTGATACATTTGTTCTGTAGTCTGTTACTACATATAAGGATTATTTAACAGCAGCACTATATCATACTTTATAAATAGGCTGCTTTTACTTATTTGTACCATTAGGTGTCACTAGTGAACAGTGTGTGAAATGAGGCTTTTGGTGATGCGATTGGCTGGAAAGCTTTAGTGTTTCAGAAAGCCAAATTTCACTTAGCAGTGAAACACAAAGCCTTGTGTTGGAAGGCGCCGGTTGTTCATCTATTTATACATGCAGCATTCCAAACTTAGTTTTCGGCAACATGCTCTCATGGAGCATACTGCCAACACTCCAAATCCAGCCAATTGCGAAATTGCAGGCCGCTCCTCTGTGCAATGTTTGGTTGAATGGACAGTAAATTTGATTGAAATGTTTTCCTTGGATGGAATCCTTCTCAACGCCTCCCCCCACTGTGTCTCCCTGTGCTCCCTTGGCTCTTTGCGGTGCTCCCTAAGCTGCACTGTGTCGACTGCTTCTTCTTGAGGACCGGTGTCTTGGCTTTGCCTTTGAAGGCCTTCGTAGGATCCAGCTTGTTGAGATGGAAATCTCCAGCAGGATCAGCTAAGTTGAGCTCACTGCTGAAAGTCAGTGGCTGGTACAACGATGCCCACTGCTGTAGAGTAAACAGGAGAAGGGAAAATTGATAATGCTGTGTATGATCATGTAGAGTAAAAGTTAACACCAAATAACCCCTACAATGTCCTTTAGGAAGTGAGTGTTACAGTAGGGTCACTCCAAGGAAACTGCAAAAATCCCACTGCTTCCTTTGCAAAATGTTCCACCACTGTAATCTGCATCCCCAGAAACACTTGGAAAACACTGTTTAGAATATATTAAAAAAGACAGGTATGTGTAAGTAGGTACAACACAGTCGGCAATTCGTGAAATTGCAATGAGGCTGAGGTAGGTAAGGACTAAAAGGTTAAACACTTTTATGCTTTGTGTAAGTGTCTTAAAACTTTGAGTGTTGCGTCATCTTGTTTAAGTGTTAAATCAGCCAACATTGTATTTTACTGTGAATGGAACAGAATGAATAAAATCTATTTTATACACCTGCAGTGACTTGTTGTTAATATTAGTACAAAGTCATCCATTTTAACTAAACATGGTTTGGTTGATTCTGAAAGACTTAAAAAAAAGGGAAACACAAAGACAATGTCGATAAGTTCTGCAGTAACTGACAGTTTTGATGATGTCATTGAAACTCTTAACACATGGTCTTAGAAAAAAGTGATTAAACACCTTGGCCTGGGGGCTCGGGCCATATGGGGTGAAGGCATACTGCCACTCAGGCAGACCCAGGTGAGTGATCATCAGGCGGTAGTAGGAGGTGAAGGTTGTCGTCAGTAAATGCCAACACAGCGAGCAGTCAAGGAACCAAATTTCACTCTGCTGGGCTACCACACCTGAAGAATACAAAGACCAACAACTAAATGATGAAATACTAATTTTAACATAGATTACATTGACACATAAATATGTCTTTTTTTACATCTCATTGTTGTTCAGAGAAATCCTAAAAGTTGCAATTTGTGAATACAAACAGAACACCTGGGGTGCAGTTTTTGTAGACTAGACACACTTTGCCATTCCCACCGCAGGAATCCAGCTCGAAGATGCAGCTCCGGGAATCAAAATGGGGTGCAGCGGGAGCATTCGCCGTCCCTGACAGATAGCACGGATGAGTCTTGAATAAATATTGACTTTCCAAAATCAACATTTTCATTCATTAGCCTGCTTTCTGCACAATTGAGCACACAAATGGACTTGATCAAACTTGACATGCTGTAATTGTTGAGTTGAGCCCACATGAGGAACCGACTGGTGACGTTTACCGCTTTCCGTGTCATCCTCCTCCTCCTCCCAGTCCAGGTCAGCCAGTGAGGGTGCATTGGGTAGAGAGAATAATGATACTGGTTGGAGGAGTGGGCACAGCCGAGCCACACTGTTGATCATCATGCTTCCTAGGGGAACACACTCATCTGAAAGAAACACACACGCACACACACAGTTATGACGGTATCTCAGATCTGAAAGACCTTTAGAATTGAAAGAATTGCATAAGCCATTTGAATGTTCCTGTATCATGTCATCTTAATAGTAGGCTTTGAATTAAAATAAATTAAGATTTATGTGAGAGTGATATTATTACAGAGAGAACATAAAACTAATCAGGTCACCTACTGTCTAGTTTAACGCTCCAGGTGAGTGTTAATCCATCTGTTGTCAGATAGAAGTCTCGCAGGTCCTCTGGCAAAATACAAGTGTTTTTCTAAAAGGAAGAAATTAAGCAGAGTTCATTTGATAACAGTGTATAAGCAGAACACATTGCCATGTCTTTAAAAAGGTGTCCACATTTCACCTGCTCCCATGACAGCAGGCTCCTCTTCTCTGCAGGCTCCCTCTCTGCAAAACGCACATCGACCACACCAGGCATGTTCTCTGGCACAACAGAGACACATTCACAACATGTATTAACTGCCCAGTAACACATGAATCGGTTTATTAGCTAGTTTCGGAGCAACAAAAGTGATACACACCGAGTATTCGAGTAATGCCAAGCGTCAGTCTCTCAGCAACACCTTTGAATGTTAAGCTTTGTTTTGGCTCTTCCATTTGGAAAATTGCATTCATAAAATTTGCGCACAGGCTTGTAGCTGTATGGCTTGTATCGTTCACCTATCTCAAAAGAACTCAGCTGGCAACATACACAGGAAACGACCTGTGACGCTATGACGCTGATTTGACACATGTTTAAGCCAATAGAAACCTGGCTTCCTACAGACTAGCCAATCGGCTGTTCCGTTGCAAGAGACAGGCGGGACGAACGTAAACCAATAGAAACCCGGCTTCCTCCAAACTAGCCAATTGGCTGCTACGTTGCAAGAGACAGGCGGGACTATCATTCCTTAGCAACGCTTGGCTCCTTGGGAGTGGAGGCGGTTGTTTCAACATGGCGGCGGCTACAAAAAGTGGAAATTCGGGGATATTTTGGATGAATGACGGTAGGCTTAATTTAACTTAACTTCTTTACCTTTCTTGTCCATTCGTACATATCTTGAATAAAGTTTAAAACGTTTTCGAACGAGTCTCACTGAGGTTACGTCTGTGTTAATGCTGGCAAGTTTTAATCTCTGAAGAAGTGAGACAGCTAGCGTTAAGTTAAGTTAACTAATAGCTAGCTAACCGTTTAGCCTACGTGTAACGCTAGTTAATTCAACGTTATAATAGTGTTAGTGCTCATTGTCATCATCACCAATCAACCCTGTTAGATTTCCTTCTGAGCTCAACACAAGCACGACTTTTACGTCAACGTTAGCTAGCGAGCTCTTATTTTGTTTGTTACTCGGTGATTGGAAGAAAGCAGCTACATATGGGATTATTGATTCGACAGTTAGTGTTGGTGTTATGAAGCACACATAACTTCAGTTACATTCAACTTGACTGTCAACTGAAGTGCCTGTGTTCTCTTTGCTTTGTTCACAAAGTGTCAGATGATGAACAGCCTTTGGTGTTTGTTCCAGGTGAGTCTCACACAACACATTGAACAATGTCCAAACACAGTGAGAGATAACTGTATGTAGCTCATACACATGCCATCCTCTTGTTCTGTCTTTCCACAAACTGTCTCAGGAGTGGAAGGAGAGGGGAAGACTCAGACCCCTTTCAGTTTTGGATCAGGCAGCACCAGTAGCAAAAGAGGTACCAGGATGCGAGCCAGGCGTAGCTATGACTGCAATAAGGAGACCACACTAAAGAAATGTGGCAAGAAACAGGGCCACGCACAAAGCGAGCAGTCTGGGATTCACACCAAGGAAAAAGTGTCGGCCCATCACAGTGCGACTGCAGTTTCAGAGCATGCACTCTCTCCAGCCTTGGGTACTTTTCTCCCCTCAACACAGGTAAACCGTTGTTTTATGTAGGATGCTTTTTCCTCTTTCCGACATATAAAATTAAATGTTTGAATATGGAAGAGAGAGGATATGGATAATCTGAATACTAATAGAACACAATAAAAGACGTATTGACGCTGACAGAATTATTTATTTATATGATAATTTAATTAATAGTTTCTGTTAATGTCTTCTCATAATTGTGGACCTTTCTTTGCACAGGTAGTCTCTGAGGCCAGCAGAGATAAGAGCCAGGTGTGTTTGAAAGACCTCTGTCCTGAAGATAAGCGCCGGATTGCAAACCTTATTGAAGAACTAGCCAGGTAGCCAGCAGTATATGCCACTGAACTCTTGTCTGGAGATAAAATTCATATGAATGTATTAATTGAAGAATATAACGTTACGCCTGATTGAAATGTTTGAGTTTATACTCCTGTAGCTTTCTGTCCCATGTCACTCTTGAATGTATAATGTAGACCACCAATGCTGTAACACTGTTCTATCCCGTTCTCCAGAGTGAGCGAGGAGAAAGAAGAGTCAGTGCAGCGTCTGAAAGACGAACAGGAACATTTTGAGTGCAAGATCCAGAAGCTGGAGCAACAGAACGTGATCATTGTGCGGGAGAGGGAGAGTATCCTTTCAAAAATAACTGAGCAAACAAATGTGCTGATGCCTATAACAGTACTGGGTGATATCAGAACAGTAAAGCAATGCACTTTCTGGTACTTCTAACTAGTGTTTTGTGAGAAATCTTCAGACAACCTGGCTGTGTTTAATGGTGTAAAATATGCTTCTCAGTGGGGTGATTGCTGTATGGAGTTTGTGCGTAGTGTCTGTACTACTATGGCTACTGCAACATGTGGTGCACTGATTTAAAGGAAACTAGATGTTCTTTAAGAACTCCAGGGTACAATAGTTCAATCTGGTAAATGTTACCAAGATGTTTTAATAAGGTGTGCTAGAAAACATATTTCACCAGAATGTTAAAAGTGGTGCAAAAAGGTGCATCTTTAAACTGATTATCAAAACATCAACCTAAAAGGGGGAACAAATTGGTAAAAACATCTGCTGTAGTCTTTTGGTTTGAATGAAAACTTGTTGACACACAGTTGCATGTAGATGTGCTTGAAGTTCCTGAATGACTTATTGAAGGCTATTCCATGAGACTGTCTGCAGGGGGCAGTGTTGTCTTAGGTAAGGCCATGCACAGTCTTTGGCCAAGACCGTTCAATTTGATACGAAAGGCAGAGAAATAGTGCAGATTCATTTGAATGATTTGACGCCTGCCGCAGATGTATTCTGCAAGTGCTTGTAGCTGATCCGCTGTTGTGTACAGAATCAATTTCAAGGTTGAAGCCGTTGCCCGAACCATCTAACTCATCT